CTCTCACTCTCTTTCTCTCTCTCCAGTGTCTTTCTTTTACTTCGCTCAATTGCTCACAACCTCTCTATCTCTTCCTCACTGTGAGAGCAACAGTTGTTCCACGGTTGAGTCCCTGACACTCAAAACACACACAGACAAACTCACACATTTCATTTCCACCTGGTCTCAATAAAGCTATGTTGTCTGATCTAGTCTGGTTTAGAGGGAAAGACAGAAGGAAAGGTTTTACCGGCCCCACTAACCCCACATAGAGACACACAACTCTCTGACAGAATCCCCAAAAGAAAGCCCAGATGTTGAATGATGACCTTACAGTGTTAGTCTTCAGAATACTTTTATCTTCATTATGTAAGAGACACAAAAGGCAGAACAAGTTTGTCTTCCCAATGCCGTCATCCCTTAGTTGTGACAGCTGATCTTGGACCCTTGACTACAGATTTAAACAAATCGTAATTTACAGAAATCTAGTTAGATTCAATGGACGTTCTTTAAATGACCAATTACTAATATTTAAAGCTGGCTAGTTAAAAAGCGTTAATATCTCCTCTATTCAGAAAGTGTTTCATTCACTTAATTTTAAATGTGGAATTGTTTGTGTTGTCTAAATCTGTATATGTTTTTAAGTGTGCCACACACAAAGAGACAGAGGAATACCAAATAAATCTATTTTGCGCTGAATAAGAGTTGTGTTTGTTTAGCGTGGGGCGTAAACCCATTTCAGAGGGCTGAGCATGCACACTCAGGATGAGGCCCCCCTCTAGTCGCAGTGGCTCTTAATTCCGGTGCCTGGGCCGGCAGAGCCAGTGACCCTGAAGCAGTCGCCCCACCTTGTTGTAATTCTAACCAGCCAGCCATGAAGTGGGCCACCATGCCGCCAGTCCCACCACCACCAGCCACCAAGCAGGGCTTAGAAAAAGAGGGAGATGGAGGTCTGAGTACAAGGAGGAGAGGGGTGGAGGCAAGGGATGCCTTGCTCGAGATTTCCACACACAGTTTGGATGTAGGATTAACAGTTAATGTAACAGTTATATCACTGCTTGGGCATATTATATAATTTGTAAAAACCATACATCATCACAAAATCTGTCATATTTATCAGTTTGTACATCTAAAACATGAGTCTGACAGGAAGTGTGCGTAGAGCTACCTTAAGCACTGACTTCAAGACTATTTGCTTCCGTTAGGAGGAGTGTGGAATGTGGAGCCTGCTCAGAGCCTCTGCAACCTGATTGAGGCCCTCATTCCTAGAGACTGGGGGTCAGAGGGCACCAGAGGGCATGGGGGGAAAAAGAGGAAGGGGCGGAAGGTGAGGGACAAGGGGGTGGATTAGGGGTGGAGTTTACAACCACGCCAGCATGGGCATTGGAGCCCTGAATACCACTCCACTATGACCTGTTATGACAGGGATCAGGGCTTTATGCTGAGTGGCTTACTGCCACAATCCATAGTTTGAACTGAGGGGGGGACCCTGTTAATGTTGTTTTGGTAAGGTGGGGGAAAGAGCTGATGGGAAACACAACTACTCTCAAACATAGAGCTGAAGGAATATAGTTTAAGTAGTAAATGAGTGCCCCATGTCAGAGGAGCTATCTCTGATATTCATGGTATTTCGTGGTCAGGGACAGATGTTGTTACAGTATATTCATTTTGTTAATCACTGCATGAATGGGTGTATGTGTCCTCCCTTCCACAGGACTGTGAATTGGCCCAGTGTCCCAGCAGCCACCCTGTTCCCCCAGGGACCAAAGTCCCCTCCCACCAGGGCCACAAAACTCAGTGGCGGTTTGGTTCCTGGACCCAGGTTGGTTGTTCTGCCACACCTTCAACCCGTGTGCCTTTTTGTTGGTTTCCAGCTTATTAACCTCTCTCCTCTGCACCACAGTGTAGTGCCAGCTGTGGCAAAGGGACACGGATGCGCTACGTGAGTTGCCGTGACAACCAGGGTGGTGTGGCAGATGAGTCGGCGTGCGCGCACCTACCGAAGCCACCTGCCAGAGAAGTGTGCTCAGTAGTGGCCTGTGGACAGTGGAAAGTGCTGGAATGGACAGTGGTAAGAAAAAAAACCCGTCATTATTATTTATTCAGTTGTATCTGACCCAGTTGGCACACAATATCTTAAAATTACAGTGTTAAGCAGCTGAACCTAAATTTATGTAAGCTCGCCATATTTGTAGAAGTAAGTCTGAAATAATTGAAAATTTGGAAAATAGTTTTCTGCATTTTCCGTCAGATCTGCATCTCATTATGCTGAGAGACAGTACTGTTGATTAACCTAAATAATGTGTCATCAATATTGCGCTCTAGATGTTTTTCTTCTAGCAAGGTTTGTTTATTTTCAGTTTACTCCGGATGATTTTCACCCTACACTGAAAATTAGTGTCTGCACACGCTATGTAGATATGTGAGCAAAGATGTGGAGACAGGGTGGCAGCTGGGAGGCAAGTGTGTATCGAGGTCTGGAGGAGGGCTGGAATGAGGCTAGAGAAGGAGTGTGTATCAGTGTGAGAGAGAGCCAGAGAGTGAATTTGAGCAAGGCACAAGTTTCTGGAGCTGGGAGATGCAAGGGGCTGCAGTGAGGGGCTCCAGTCTTGTTTACAGATGTTTCTCATCAGAGTCCTGGTGATACAATACAGCCAGACTGCAGGTCTGGTCACCATACACACACCCACACACACACACACACACACACGCACACACACACACATGCATATGCATGCACACCCACACATGTACCACCAAGCCAAAGACACTCATTGAACCCCCAAAGAAAATAGTTCATCCCAAGGCCAAAAAAGATTACAGAGGCCTATTCCAGCCACACACACATACACACCCACACTTTCTAACGTGAAGCAAAATAGCCTTCTTAATCTTGTAGTGACAGACCACTCCAATATGACAGAGATTTGTTATTGTTCTCAGGGCATGCACAGCCTACAGTATGTTATCCAACAGCCTCATTTAGTATCACATCATGTACATCGACATATTGTATGTCAAACCTTACAGTATCTAAAATCATGTGAAATCCATAACATGGTGACAGAGCAGTGTAAACTTCTGGACAGTGTAATCCCAGGCAGGGTTTTAAAGTTGACAGCTGTTGCATAAGAATAATAGATCACTTTATGCAAGGCAGAAAGTGGACTCTGCTGTGGAGGAGCTGAGTGAGATGCCATTAGTGCTTGGCGTGCTCTGTCTTGTGTTATTCTTCTGAAAAGAAAGATGTGTACTTGGTATCTTTAAAGATTTACTGCATGGTCAGCCAGGGCCATTTGCTGAGTCAGGCTTGCTTTAAGTTGGTGTTGGACTATATGCCATATTAGCCTTGTCATTGTTTTTGTTAGTGAGTTTTTTAAGGCCCAGCCGAGGAGTAGAGGTTTCCACTTTGGTGCTATCTGAATGTAGTTGACATAGTTGTGCTGGTCGCCACCCTTGGGCCGAGTGTCAGCTGGAAATGGGGTCGACACCTCCATAACTGTTAGTAGTTGCTGCCCTCCAGCGAAAGGCTTTAAGTATCTTTGGGTCTTAAGATCTATAGTTGGATGTATGCAGCAGCTACTGTCATTATGGCACTGTTCTGGACCATCACGGGAAAAGAAAAGATGAGTGTGAAAGTGAAGCTGTTCACTTCCCAGGCGAGTATCGCCTGTGGTCACAAACGTTGAGTTGTGGCAGAAAAGATGAGATTAAATACACATGGCTCAAACTATTTTCTATTGCTCTAGAAATCCGACTGGGAGAGAGTGTGTTCTTGAAGATCTTTCAATATCTGGAAAGGATGAAGAAGAAAGAAAATGTCAGGCCCTTGAGCCCACTCGCTCATCAATATAGAAATATATCATGTATTCATTAGAAGGCGCTCTTGCCTTTATTATCATTTTATAACCCCATAGTTGTTACAGCAATCAATGTTCATCCTGTTATTTCAAAGTTGTCAAATGTTTGTAAAAATCTGTTTAAAGAGCCAATTCTGATGACCCATGTTGAGCCATTTGTACAAATAGTAGGTTGGTATGATTGCTCATCTTTTACCTCACACCATGTAATAATGCATCTAGATGCATATAAGCATAATGCATCCCCTTTGTGTTTTCAGTGCTCAGTAACCTGCGGCCAGGGGAAGACGACGCGGCAGGTACTGTGCGTCAACTTCAGTGACCAAGAAGTGAATGCTAGTGAGTGTGACCCAGACGATCGTCCTACCACAGAGCAGGACTGTGCTATGTCTCAATGCCCGTCCCGCTCCAGTGAGACCCGACCTTTCCCGTCCTCACCAAACGCCAGTGCCAGGAACAACCTGCCTCGTAGCCAATCCCACCAATGGCGGACTGGACCCTGGGGCGCGGTGAGGCATCACATCACAGTGGTCAACAAACCATTTCTCTGGGGCCTGACATTTGAAATATTGTGCTTAATCCTGTGCAGCCAACCCCTCAGCTCAAACAATAGAAGTCTGGAGAAAATGATAGCAAGGGGGAAAATGAGACAGTTGAGGAGCTGAGGCGGTACTGAAATGGCTATTTTTATAATGATCCCACCATCAGGAAACTATTTTTTTACACAAGGAACTGCTAAAGGCCACTCTTTTCACACACGTAATTGTACCATGTACGTTTTCTATTGTTAGTGAGCTAACTGTTAACCCGAATGCTCCGTCCCAGCAGTTAGACTGCAGTATCACAATGTTTTATAGTTACTATCTGTACTGAACCGACTTTTGTGTTAAATGTAGCCCCCTATTGATTCAACCATGGTTGAGTCTACATAGGATTAAAGGAATGGTTTGACATTTTGCGAATTGCGCTTAATCACTCTCTTGCTGAGAGTTAGAGGATTGATACCACTTTTATGTCCATAAATGTTAAGCTACAGCCAGTAGCTGAGTAGCCAGTCCCTGGTTTTGTAATGGATTAAACAAATATGTCATAACATTAACAAGAATGTCAATTATTGAGCTTTAGAGACTCTTGTAGATTAATTTTACCTTTGGGCCGAGCCAGGCTAGCCATACCAATATGTTTCCAGTCTTTGTGCTATGCTAAGCTAAGCAGGTTCTGTAGCTTTGTAGTTACTGTATTTCCAGACAGGAGAGTGGTATAGAGCTGAATATGTGTAGTTCCCTAAATGTCAAACTATTACTTTAAGATGTCCTAACTAAACCTGTCCTCATCATATAAAGTATTCCCCCTTGTGTTACAGAGGATTTGGGGTGGTTTAAGTACTAATGTAAAGTGAAAAGTTCAGTAATTTTTTAACAGTTTGTGAAGCAGTTATATTTTCCTACAATGCATTTTATGATGCTGACTTTGACACACGCTCATAAAGTGAGGCTCAGTTCTCCAGGTCCTTTTATCTTTTTAAGACAAGGCCTTGGACATTGTGATGTGACTCCACAGGATATCATAACCTAAGAGCCACAGGCTGTCTCCCCCATGGATTTCTTTCTTTGTATTGTTCATCTGTTTTTTTTAAGAACTGGGTTAGTGATAATCTCTGTCCAAAAATAATTTTGACCTTTAAATAATTCTGGGAAGTGATTAAAGCTATTTCTGGTGACTCTTCCTTCCTCTGTCCTGAGGATGTATATTTTATTATAGCAGCACACATGGCCAGTCTTTTGACATGGGATGGCTCATAGTATTGTTCTGTGAATTTTTGAGTGGGAGCTTTGTGTGCACACAATATAATACACATACTATAGTGCACAAGTATTCTTTACAACATGGTCTGTGTATTTAATCTACTCGTGATTCTTCTATCTAGACAAAGATACACTGATTTAATACGTTGCAGTAGGCAGTTTTGTGTGTTTTTTACTTCATCATGTCTAAATGAAGTGTAAATAATATACATACAGTATATACCTAGATAGATTTTTACCTATACACACACCCATCATCTATTTGTGTGACACATCTAATTGACAGTGCTTACTTTTCTCTCTCTGTAACAACAGTGCTCCAGCACATGTGCAGGAGGTTTCCAACGGCGTGTAGTAGTGTGCCAGGATGAGAATGGGTACCCTGCCAACAGCTGCGAGGATCGCAGCCGGCCCAATGAGCAGCGATCCTGTGAGTCAGGGCCATGTCCACAGTGGATCTATGGCAGCTGGGGAGAGGTAAGACAGGCACCACTCTATCGCTCTTTACATCAGATATTGGTCTAGTTTAGAGAGAAAACTGTTAACTCTGGGATGCTTTTTTGTGTTTGATTAATTACTTTGACTGATGTAGAAGTTGCTTAGTGTGGAGGTTTGAAAATGCATTAGAAATCAGCTAATACTCACATTCTCCATGCTTCACACAAGAAGTTTTTTCTTAACACTCAAAAACCTTTTCCCAATACCCATGTGTAAAACACAACCTCTCCTCCTGCTGTCTTCAGTGCACCAAGCCATGTGGAGGTGGAATAAAGACGAGGCAAGTGGTGTGTCAGCGTCCAAACGGCGAGCGTTTCAATGATCTGAGCTGCGAGATCCATGACAAGCCACCAGATCGCGAGCAGTGCAATACTCAGCCGTGCCCGTCTAGCCCCCACTGGATCACAGACCCATGGAGCTCGGTACGCTCATAAAAAATACTCTATACCCTGTTTTTCAACCTCACATTTTTTCAAATGCTTGTAGTCTTACTCTTTTACAAACAGTCTTAAAGGGACAGAATGACTATGGTGCTTTTGCACTGGAGAAACAACCGCTTCTCTACTTTTACTTTTAACCCCTTCCACTTCCTGCTCCCTCTCTGGTGCCTGCGATTGGTCGACGTTTCCTCAAGACATTCGGAGAGTTAATTTCTGTTGCACTTAAATGGCAAAGAAACGCTCACTTGCAATATGCCAAAAAAAAAGTACAACATCGCAAAATACTTCAGTGACAGCTGTGACCATAAGAACATTTTTTGTCAGTCCTAGTTACCATAAAACTGTTGTTGAGCCTTGTATTAGTATTTGAAAAATTCAGGATCACTTTGTATCACAATCAAAGTTAGTTTTGTAAAATATTGTTTTTAAAGATAATTTATTAAGATATTTTTTTCCTTTTTATCTTTTGTATATAGCATTAACTTTAAAAAGTGATTTATTTTGTGTCTTAGCTCTTTGTATTCGCACATTTAGCCAATCGTTGCTCATATGCAAATACTGATGAATGTTTTTGTATATCAGGAATATACAGTACGATGCCTTTTTCTTTTATTATCCAAAGAATGGCCCATAATCCCCAAATATGTGGTGCTACACAATGTAGTCGATGTTCTGTTATGAACATTAAAAGCACCAACTTACATAGGGCTGTGTACTATATATACATCTTTGTGCTATATACATCTATGAAATGGCTATTGTATCAAGAATTCAATTTGTCTCAAGGCACATGTGGTTTTTTAGAGAAGTTACTAATCTTATTTAGACACTTTATTTTACAGTTTATGTATTTACTTTCTGCTACGAAACAAACAGTGGTGTTGCCCCAAAATGACATTGACACTGAAGCATTAATATGTTGGCTCAAAGGTTTCTGAAACGTCCAGTATCAGTAGTAAACACCAGCAAACAGTAGCTGTACTAGCACTGTAAAATAAAGTGTCTCACTGAGTTTGTGATAATTAGAACTAATAGCCATTGTATTCCAGCTTGGCAGAGGGGTTTTGACCCAGATTTCCTTAGTGTGGCCAAAACAATAAGTTTAAATCTCTCTGCTCCAAAGGTGCTTTGATATGAGTGTATTTATATTATGTTAGTTAATGTTTTCTCTGTACAGTAAGTACTTGGAGTTGCTAAATATGCTATGCTCAACAATACCTCACTTGGAACAAAACACAACTCAACTAGCCATTAAACGATGATAACCTACACTACAGTGGTGCTTTGGCCAAACAAGGGAGATATAAGATATAAATATCAAAAATGAACCATCGTATTTTTGGTCGATTAGGTGTTTATTGTGGCACATTGCTTTATAGTGCTGCCTTTTTTTGTACTTTTTATTTCTTTCCATGAGCAGTTAGTGGATTGATCAGATTGATCAGCTAAATGCAAAGTGTATCACAGATTTGATGAAATAATGTTGAATTGTCTTCGAATGTCCATCAAAGAGCTTGCTCAACCTTTAAGGGAATGGGCTGTTAAAATGTCGTACTTTGAACACGTGATACCTGTGACCACAGGGGAAGTTAATAGTGTTTTGTATCCAGAGCTCTTACTCTGAGCCAACCTAATGTGTCTACCTCAGTCTCTGTTTTGATTGCCCCCCTGCCGTATCTTTCTCTCCCTTGCCCTGGAGGGGTTTGGCTGGCTAAGATTAAGCATGAGTTGTTGAGGCTACCCATTGCAGCTGATGGCCCTAAACACAGATCCAGGTTGTGTGTCATCTCCCACCTTGTAATGCCTACCATCCTGCTGTGGACAGTGAAAAATGATCTAGAATCTGTGGTTAGGGGCAACTTTTGCCTGCAGCCTACCCAGTTGACTCCTCCTGGTCATAAATGTCTGTACTGACATCACACCTTATTTTAAGGGCCTGTTAACACAGCAGTGAGTACATTTTTTACCACACATTATTTACTAATGAGAACTATCTCTTCTAATGAGTCCCACATGTGATTGTAAGGCAGCATAAAATTAAATTTAGGTTGAATCAGTGAAAGTAGAGCACAGTTTTATTTTTCAGTCATAGCAGTTTGACTCCTTGTGGTCAACCTCTGGTTCAAACAGCAGTACAGTTATACACACCATATCAACAGGCTCTTGAAATAAGTATATTGTATGTCTCTTATTCACAAATGGCAGTATTCTGTAGTCTGTGTTTCAAGATTTCTGTACATTTATGTAATTACTTGTATTTATTGTTACTTCATTATAATGTTATGTCAATATTTAATTTTTTTATGGATTTGTTGGATTTCTGTTCATTTCCCGAAAGGTTATGATTAAAGTGAAGTAGAGGTACAATCAAAGGCTTTTTTTCATTCTTATTTGAACAAAACATTCTGGTAACACTTAAGTTTGTAGCCTGCAACATACAGCACATTTCTTCCCAAAAATCCAGTGTAATGTTTTGTATTAATGGTGTACCAGTACAGTACAGTACTGATGCATAAATGTAGATACAAAGCAGCAATATGTGAAGTTAGGGAGTAAGTGAGTAGATAGATAGATACTTTATTGTCCTTCACAGGAAATTTGTCACAGTCTGTACGTAGCTTTCAGACATACATACACAGATACAAGGGACACCACGACATAACAACAAGAATAAACACTTAATGCAGCACATTTAGCACATTTACCCCTCCCTAACTATCTGGGAACTTAAAAGAAATGTTTGTATTTGTTTGCATATTCTAATATTATAGGGCCCACTGTGACCTACTGAGTAACAAAGCTGAATTTTGTCAGACAATAGGGTAATGAATTCTGTAGCACTGCTGTGATTTATTTCAGAATTACCATTTACTGCAAACTACATAGTTGTGTAATTTCATCATCTTTAAAGTCAGCCCATCTCTTCTAACAATAAACTAACACTATGTCCAAAACAGAGTAGGCCTAATGCCAAAAACATTGCTTTCCTCAAAAACTGTTTTTTTACCTGTTTGTGGCTCTCAAGGACGGTCATGCTCATGTACACATCTTGTGCCCTCGTATGCGTGTGTATGGATGTGTACTGTACTGGCACAATTGGTATTAAAAAATTTCACTGTAAATGGGAATAATTACGCTGTACATTGTGGTGTGTAATCTAAAGCATTACCAACATTTTTGTCACTCACAGTGAGCTGGCCAAGGTCACTGCAAACTAAGAAAAAGGAAAAAAACAACTTACATAAACTGGTTGTCCGAAAAAGTCTGAAACAAGGATAAGGCTTTAACTCAAGATTACCAACTCCATCTTTATGGTAATTTCAGTGTGTTTGTGGATAAGGAAGTGTCCTATATTATTTAGTGTGTTTACCTTTGACTTTGGCTAAAAGATTTAAGAAGAGATGCCTGGCTAATAGCTTACAAAGCAGTCCTCCCCGCCAGTCTATTCAACGGGGTGTTTTTCCTGAATGAAAACGCACAAATCACTGAGCAATATCCTTGTTATTTTATGTGATCAGGGCCTCTGCTGACCTCTTTGAGTGACCGTGCTCTTACCGTCAGTGTCAGGAGTTCAAAGCTCTTTCCATCAAGGTAAATCTGTGTCTTGTGGGACAATGCTTCAGTATACCTCCCATTTCATTGACTGTGTTCATTCACTCTTAATGCCTACCCTGGCTTTTTCTGGGACGCCTGGTGACGCGTGCTCAGCTATGAAGTTGCCAGCGCCCTTTGCCCCTTTCTGTCAGGCCCCTCTACTCTGGTCTAATGCGGGTTGATGACAGTGTACCAAGACAATACAGTGGTGTATTGGTGGGTCAAGGGTCACGTTTGATCTGGGGAGGGGCCCCTTCCCAGTTTGTCACGTCAGCACAGACAGACTTCTGGGAAATTGCTGTGATGGGGGGGGGGGGCAAAACCAAGTTGAATAGGATTCCCAAACACTATGCTGACATTGAAAACTGGTGTATTTAGGGGGGTTTCATTTCACATGGTGCTGGTCGATGCTTTGCCTATATCGATTTTTAAAGCTAAAGTTGTATGATTTGAAAGATGTGTTTTGTATCTGCAATTCTATGCATTGTAATTACCTTTTGAACTGTTTAGAAGTCAGTTCAAACTGACTGGTGATTGACACTGTTTAAATTCCATGTAGCATTATGGTAAATAGAGCCTGAACCGACAAATCGCTTTACAATTTGCCTCTCGTTCAAACACACGCACACCGATGGTGACGCAGCTGCCGTGCAAGATGCTGGCCTGCCCATCAGGAGCAACTATGTTCAGTGTCTTGACCAAGGACACTACGATATGTGGACAGGGGGAGCCAGGGATCGAACTACCAACCCTGTGATAAGTGGACGGCCCACTCTACCTCCTGCAAATAAAACTAAAGCAAAATAAATTTGTTTATATAGTGTATTTATTTTCCGATGGAGTAGGAAATATTGAGTTCAAGTGTGTGTGTGTGAGCAATCATGTTGTATTAGTGAACTGGATACAGAATCCCAGAGAACTTATGGGCAAAGTTAATGAACTCTGCATGGGGGGGTTCAAGTACTGATAAAACACATGGTGTTTTAATGTGACCCATTTGCACTGATTCTCAAGGTATTCTGAGGGCATTTCAGCACAGCACACCAGCAGGAAAGCCCTTGTAAAAAAGTATATAAAACCTTTGAGGAACGACCTGACGATTGATTGCAGTCTGGATTGTAAATGCTTTAACCTTTACTGGGAAGCTCAGTTTCCCCTGCGATGACCCACTTGTGTACATCTAAAACTAATGTGTTACTGTATATTGCGTTCATGTCAGGCAACAGCATTAAAAATATGATCTCTGTTGTTGCAGTCAGTGGTGGTATTTGCTGTCAGGAGAACTGTCAGTGACTTATTACATCAATCATGAAGTCAGTTTTCTACTTTATACAATAATTCATAGGAAGTACTATCCCAAAGACACATAAGAAACACAGTCAGTGTCATTTTTATTGATATTTAATGACAATATCCACACAAGAATCACGTTTCTTTATCTCTTGGCATAAAAACCAGCATGAATTAACTCCAATAAATCTAGCGCATTACAGATCAAATGTAGATGTGCCCGGATTTAAGAAGGGGAACAGGCATTTTATTAGCCCCTCCTTTAATGACCCCCTCATACCCCTCATCCCCACACCCTGAATGAGGTGAGAGGTCACAGCATGTTCCTGTCTAGTACAGTCCCTTGCTGGTCAGGACAGCACCACACACTGGGCCGCGTACCCATTCAACTCTGAGCCTGTCGCTTCCCATCCATCCCCACATGCAACGCCCCTTTGATTATCCGAGCACAGTCCAGCCCTTCTCCACTCCCTCCTGTGTGTGTGTGTGTGTATGTGTGTGTCTGCCTGTCACACTGAGTTAGAGTAACTCGGTGAACCCGGAGGTGAAACAAACTGCTGCCGGGGTGATCGGACACGCTTTGCCATTGGACTAGCGACCCACGTGGAACTGCGTCTCTCTCATATCACGTTTTTTTTTTTTTCTTTTTTTGGGGGGGGGGGTTGGAGTCAAAAAGATCCACAAACTAAATTTACCTGTTCAATAAATACTTAACTTGACTTAAATTATAATGATTATAATATTTTATCATGCAGATTCAATTATGCCTGACATTATAGTGAAGTGCTTTGTGAAACCCAATCATTTTGTTTGACCTAAATCATGCCGACCAAACAACCAAACCCACCCTGACTTTCATTTGTTTGGGGTGTGTACAGTTTTAACACAAAACATACCTTTTGATTTCAATTTAACTCCTTCTTGCAGTGCTCTGCCGCCTGTGGAAGAGGATTCAAGTCCCGTAAAGTGAGCTGCGTGACCGGCTCTGGTCGCCCTGCCTCAGAGGAAAACTGCCAGTCTCTGTCCCCCAAACCCAGCAAGCAGAGGCGCTGCCGAGGTGGACGATGTCCCAAGTGGAAGACTGGCAACTGGGGAGAGGTAGGAGTCTTTAACCCTGCTGTAAAACACTCCTACCACTCTTGTTCTCACGCTGCTAGACATGTTTTTTTCTCTCTTTCCACTTTAATGCTTACCAGCCTGCTGGCAACTACGCGCATATGTGTGAAAACATCTGCAGCTAAACCTTATTTAAGTATGTATTCACCATGCCAGGCCACTAACTAAGGCAGGGTGCTTTTACACATCACATGGTGGTTGGCTGGTTTGCAGCACAGGCCTGCGGTGGCTGCTTACTGGGGTTTTTGAGGTAGTGTATGCAGGGGCTGTGACTACACAGTACAGTCAGTATGACAGCAGGAGGTATGAGCGCCCCTCTCTTTGATCTTAACAGCCAGTGCAAATCTACCCCTCTCATTTCTATATTTTCTCTTCCTCCGTCCCTCACTTTTCTGTCTTCTCTGTCCCTTTTATCCTCCTTCTCACTGTTGCTCTTTCTCCACTTTTCCATCACTTTTTTTCTTTCAAGCCCTCTTCCACTTCTGTCCCCTCTGTGTTCAGCCTCCCCAATGGGAACCACATGTTAGTCTTTTCTTTGAATGCCCTACTAAAAAGGCAATTCACCCACGTCATCACGCCAGAAACACTCACAACGTACACCTGGACTTCTAGAGAGCCTGTCCGGGGCTTGTGTGTTTTCTTTGCCTCCCTTTACTCTCTATGTCTTCTCTCTCTCTTTTCTTGTGTCCTCTTTCTCTGAATTCACTCCACTGGCCAAGAGTCTAAGCACAAGAGCCACATCTGCGCACCATACGTCAGAGAGGATGTGCGTCTGCTCTAAACAGCTGTGGAGCAGGACACATGCCAGGAGAAAATGATACTCACACACAAGGCTCTTAGTCGGGTACAGTATGATTACCCATTCTGTACCAGGCTGCCTAGTAGTTCAATGGTAGTTCATTGGCACATGATACATTTTGATTGAATGATGGAATATTTAAAGCTGCATGTAAATATGTGTGTAACAGGCTCCATCCAATGATCTGATGTAACCTCAGCTTAATCATCTGGAGATTGGGTTTATCACTTCTTTCTCCCTTAACCTGCAAAAGTATGAGCAGTTGTGATGTCGGTCTCTCTCATATACATGTACACAAACAGAGACTCAAACATTGTATCAGTCATAATCCTGTTATGCGCAAAACACTACATATATATAGCTGGCCTCATTAACAAGGCCCGGATCCCCCACTGACATTGACTCTTATACCCACCCTATACGTATGCATTACATTAATGCACTCC